GGCACTTGAATGCCAAGCTGAGGCATTTGGATTTTATTCCCTACAAGCTAGCCAGAGCCATTTTGCTCCCTAGAAGTTCTTCCAGTAAATTCGTAGACTCACATAGAATGTCTATGCTTGGCTGTATATCACAGTTACAGAACATAATTAACAAGTTAGGATGCTGATGTCAATTTATTCTGGATAGAATAAAAAATGCAATGTGGCTAAAAACTCATTGCCCCCTGGGCCAGCAGTTAATGTCAGGGAGTGGAAAGGGCTCTGGGGTCCTCAGGGGATAGCTGTTTCCCGCCCGGAGGGTCGGGCTTCTGAGTTCCAGCAGATTGCATTATGGGAATAGGGTCCAGAGGTGCCAGAGCTTCCTAGTTTTAAAGAAAGTCTGGACATTTAGATTCTTGTGAACACTCCTGATTTTTCTGAAATTACCTGGGAACTCAGCAGTGGATTAGGAGAACATAACTCCTCTCTATCAGCACAGGGAAAGGCACTGCAAAGCCTGCCACATGGAGCCTTGGTGGCCTCTTTCGATTCTTTTTTTTTTTTTTTTTAATACTAACCACAGTTTTTATTATTCTAAATGTCTTATATTAGTATTGTATATGTCTTGTACTAGTACTTTTTATTATTATTATTATTATACTTTAAGTTCTAGGGTACATGTGCATAACGTGCAGGTTTGTTACATATGTATACTTGTGCCATGTTGGTGTGCTGCACCCATCAACTCGTCAGCACCCATCAACTCGTCATTTACATCAGGTATAACTCCCAATGCAATCCCTCCCCCCTTCCCCCTCCCCATGATAGGCCCCGGTGTGTGATGTTCCCCTTCCCGAGTCCAAGTGATCTCATTGTTCAGTTCCCACCTATGACTGAGAAAATGCGGTGTTTGGTTTTCTGTTCTTGTGATAGTTTGCTAAGAATGATGATTTCCAGCTGCATCCATGTCCCTACAAAGGACACAAACTCATCCTTTTTTATGGCTGCATAGTATTCCATGGTGTATATGTGCCACATTTTCTTAATCCAATCTGTCACTGATGGACATTTGGGTTGATTCCAAGTCTTTGCTATTGTGAATAGTGCCGCAATAAACATGTGTGTGCATGTGTCTTTATAGCAGCATGATTTATAATCCTTTGGGTATATATCCAGTAATGGGATGGCTGGGTCATATGGTACATCTAGTTCTAGATCCTTGAGGAATCGCCATACTGTTTTCCATAATGGTTGAACTAGTTTACAATCCCACCAACAGTGTAAAAGTGTTCCTGTTTCTCCACATCCTCTCCAGCACCTGTTGTTTCCTGACTTTTTAATGATCGCCATTCTAACTGGTGTGAGATGGTATCTCATTGTGGTTTTGATTTGCATTTCTCTGATGGCCAGTGATGATGAGCATTTTTTCATGTGTCTGTTGGCTGTATGAATGTCTTCTTTTGAGAAATGTCTGTTCATATCCTTTGCCCACTTTTTGATGGGGTTGTTTGTTTTTTTCTTGTAAATTTGTTTGAGTTCTTTGTAGGTTCTGGATATTAGCCCTTTGTCAGATGAGTAGATTGCAAAAATTTTCTCCCGTTCTGTAGGTTGCCTGTTCACTCTGATGGTAGTTTCTTTTGCTGTGCAGAAGCTCTTTAGTTTAATGAGATCCCATTTGTCAATTTTGGCTTTTGCTGCCATTGCTTTTGGTGTTTTAGACATGAAGTCCTTGCCCATGCCTATGTCCTGAATGGTACTACCTAGGTTTTCTTCTAGGGTTTTTATGGTATTAGGTCTAACATTTAAGTCTCTAATCCATCTTGAATTAATTTTTGTATAAGGAGTAAGGAAAGGATCCAGTTTCAGCTTTCTACTTATGGCTAGCCAGTTTTCCCAGCACCATTTATTAAATAGGGAATCCTTTCCCCATTTCTTGTTTCTCTCAGGTTTGTCAAAGATCAGATGGCTGTAGATGTGTGGTATTATTTCTGAGGACTCTGTTCTGTTCCATTGGTCTATATCTCTGTTTTGGTACCAGTACCATGCTGTTTTGGTTACTGTAGCCTTGTAGTTTGAAGTCAGGTAGCGTGATGTCTCCAGCTTTGTTCTTTTGACTTAGGATTGTCTTGGCAATGCGGGCTCTTTTTTGGTTCCATATGAACTTTAAAGCAGTTTTTTCCAATTCTGTGAAGAAACTCATTGGTTTCTGTTCTTCACCCATCACCCCATTTGAACCGTGAGGGTTCAAGAGGAAATGGCACTACTACAAGGTGTGCCTCCATTGCGAAACTGAGGCACAACAGGTCGGGGTCAGATCTGGCATCCAGATACCTTCCCTGAGCTCTCCAGTGGCCATTCTGCTGTGCTTCATTTGCATTTCCTCATTTGCAAAATAAATTCATTCTTTCATTCATTAAATGAATATTAAGTGTATGGTGGCCAAAACAAAGAATTTGCCATAGAAACAGAAATTTTGATGAGATGCTGTTTAAAATTGTGCTATTGGCCAGGTGTGGTGGCTCACACCTATAATCCCAGCACTTTGGGAGGCCGAGGCATGTGGATCACCTGAGTTCAGGAGTTCAAGACCAGCCTGGCCAACATGGTGAAACCCTGTCTCTACTAAAAATACAAAAAATTAGCCGGGCATGGTGGTCGGTGCCTGTAATCCCAGCTACTCGGGAGTCTGAGGCAGAGAATTGCTAGAACCTGGGAGGCAGAGGTTGCAGTGAGCCAGGATCGTGCCATTGCACTCCAGCCTGGATGACAGAGCAAGACTCCATCGCAAAAAAAAAAAAAAAAAAAAAAATTGTATTATTATCGTAGTTATTTTTCAGCAAACAACAACAACAACAACAAAGAAAACTAATAGGTGTTGTGGTCAGTCACTGCTTTTGCTGTCACTGTGTGGGTAAAATGTCCTGAAGTGAAGCTTTGGAGCATGGGGCCATGCCCAAGGCTTTCCCTGCACATGCCACCTTGTCTGGGTTTTCTCTGTGTCCCAGGCTCTGGGCTCAGTGGCTGGAACTCAACCCTCTTGACCTGGTAAACTCCCAGTGCCTAGCATGGGCACAGGACAGACACACAGATGTTCCCCAGTGGGGTGAATTGCATGTGGGCATTGTCTGGTTTTGGTAGATAAGAGTCTAGCCACAACAATCATCGATAAAGCGGCAGTAGAATCACAGCATGTAAAAATGGAAGTTAAGCGAGGGAACACATGGAATTTGTAAAATGACTGTATTAATCAACTTGGGCTGCTGTAACAAAATGCCATAGACTGGGCGGCTTAAGTAATAGAAATTTATTTCTCACAGTTCTGGAGACTGCAAGTGAAAAATCAAGGCACTGTCAGGTCTGGTAAGGAAGCTCTTCCAGGCTGGCAGATGGCCAACGGCCGCCATCTTGCTGTGTCCTCACAGGGTCTTTCTCAGTGCATGGGTGTGGGGAGAGAGGGACCTGTCTCTTCTCTTTTTATAAGGCCACCAATCCTATCAGATTAGGCCCCTTATGACCTAATTTAAGCTTAATTGCTTCCTAAAAGCCCTATCTCCAGATAGTCACATTGGTTGTTAGGGCTTCAGTGTGTGAATTCTCAGGGGACACAGTTCAGTCCTTAACTAAGACCTTACATCATGATGACATCATTACTGGCTTTGTGATTTTTTGTTGGTTTCACCATGATACAGCACAAGCTGACAGGTTTTCCTGTAGACTGAGCCCTTCCATTTGGAGCCACGAGCCTGCTGTGGTTGTGTGTGAACTAGGGTGGAGGGGCCAGCATGGATGAAGGGCTGGTTGGGGTGGTATTCTTGAAACAGTCATCTGTGGGGTGGTTAGACCGTGCCTGGGAGAAGTCTGTGCACTTAGAAAACAAGACTGTGCTCACAGTGCTTGCCCACGGCCTTCCTTGTGTGCGCTTGTCGTTTGTCCTCACCACCCACATGACAGCACCAGACTATGAGATGCCTTGAACACTAAAAAGATCATGGTGCCCTTCTTTCAATTACAAAAAAACACAATATTTAAGAATAAAATTATGTTCAAGAAAGTCTTTATCAAATATAAGATTTTTAAAACAATTGCTTCTTCTCTTTGAGTGGTTTGATAGATGTTCTCACCCTACTGGTGTGTGAAGCGAAGATCTGCCCACCATGCTTGATAACATAGCACAGTGTGTGTGTGTGTGTGTGTGTGTGTGAGAGAATGAAATGTTGTTCTTTCATAAACCAACGTTAAACTCAGAGCTGTTCAGAGACAGCATGCTGCTGAATGTAGGATGTAGAGCATCAGGCTGCCTGGAGCAGAAGGTGACCTCTATGAAGAGCCTGGGCTCTTTGCAGTCTACAACTATAAGATCCTGGGGGATTTGTCCCTGGGCATTGCCTGTGGGGACAATCCCACACCACTTTATAAATTGCTCCAAGGAAAGCCTTGGTTCACCTGACATCGCAGCCTCGGAGTGCAATGCACATGCTGTCTGCAGGGCACAGGGATTTAAGGCAGGATGTGGAGAACACCTTTTCCACATAGAATTGCAGGGGGGTTTAGGTGGGCTAAAAGTAATGACCCACCTGTGAATCTGACAGGAGTACCAGGGTTAATGTCGCCTTCCTTGTTGAGAATGTCCTTTTGAAATATGTTCTAGGGTATTGCTCCTGTCCTATTAATTATGTCGCAAACTTAGTAAAGCTGTATAATTAATGATCATGGGGCACTTGGAACTATAAAATGTCATGTAAGTGTTAAGGAGTAAAAATTACTCTGGTGTTAGATAGATGTGCTGCTTTAAAAATGTTCCACGCTGGGAAGGTTAACTTCTAGAAGAGCTGAAAAGCTTCCTGTTGGGCTTTCTTCAGAAACTTGGGATGTTTTGCCCTAACCACATTTTAGGAAATTCAGATTTCTGCATTCTGGAGTCTTTGGAAGACAAATGGCTAGCCAGCACTTTTAGCTCTGGAAATGAAGTCACCCCCCTCTTCTGGATTTTGGTAAAAATCATGTTCGTTGATTCCCTCTAGTCGGAGGCAGTTTGGGCCCAAAACCAAGGAGGAGGTGAAGATCGTTGAGCACCAAACGCAGACCCTGTGGCTGATGCCCCCCCTGGCCACAGCCTTGGCCCTGACCTTTGTCAGCAGGTGAGATGGCGCTCAGGGTTTGCTCTCTTAGGGTAAGTGTGATGCCCTGGCGTGAGTAAGAATTCAGAGAAGCAGGCACAGGATGTCATTTTCTAACTGTGATCAGGAAAGAGTCTGTTGTTAAAATCGGATGCCCAGGTTAAAAGCATCCTCGGATGCTTAAACCTCTGCAGATGTTTTTAACCTGGATATCTGCTTTTAAAGGATGCTAAGGTCCAAATCTTGATTGTCTCTAGATTCAGATGAATGGAGGCCACGGAGACTTTGAGAAGGCAGGAGCCAACGTTTCTCCAGAGTTTTTAAAAGTAGCAGACTTGAACAGTTAAAAGTTCTTTACCTTCTGATAAAGGTTCTAATTACCAGTAAAGTTTTCAAAAATAGGTCCAGGTGTGTATGTATTTGGAGGGGGATGCGGGGGAGGCAGGGAGTGAGGAGCTTTGAATAAAACATGTATGTAAGTACACCTGGAAATTCACATTCTACCACAGGCTTTCATTTCTGCCTCTCAGCTATTCCTCCCCAAGTGCTAGGCCGTTGTCCAGCAGTTGTGTGTCATGTTATCCTCATCCCTGCATTATAAAGATAAGAAACTAAGGATTTATCTCAGATCACAGAGCCTGGAAGTAGTGGACTAGGAGTGGAACTTCAAACTCTGGGCCCTATTCTGTGTTCTTTCTTCCTTCCATAAGCAATTTTGCTTCTCAGTGTTAACTCCAGTCATTCATTTCTGAATAATTTAGAATTGGCTTGTGTTTGAAATTTAACATGCTGATGGGGAAGCTAGTCCCAGGGTTTATAAAAGGATGGTAATCAGAGAGCCCTTGGCATATCTAGTGTGCTGCTGACTGTCGATTGCCCAGCCATTGCTGGCATGGCTGGGAGGGGTCGGATGGGTGCACTTGTGTTCTTATTGTACACGAGGCTGGCAAGTAGAATGCCAGTGTTCCAAGTGCAAGGACACTGAACCCTTCAGGCTGAGCTGCAGGTAGCAACAGTAAGATCCATCCATGCCACCTGGAAGAAAATTTAAAGCACTTGCATCCGCCATCTCTTGCCTGACATGTTTCTGAATGGTGTTTTGAGGTTTAATTTGCATACAGTGAAATGCATAGATTTTAGTTTTTAGTGGAGTGATTTTTGACACACATATACTCTTCTCGTGTAATGAACACTAAAGCCAAATATAAAGCATTTCCATCATCCCCAAAAGTTCCCTCTGGCCCTTTTGCAGTTGACCCTCACCTTTCCACCACAGCGGAGACAAACAGTTTTCTGATTTCTATTCCCATAGCTTAGTTTTGCCTGTTCTTGAACTTGATGAAAATGGAATCGTACCATATGTATTCTTTTGTTTCCAATTTATTTCATTCAACAGAACATCTTGATGTTCCTCAATATCATGGAGAGTTTGTTAATTTTTATTGCTGAATAGTAACATGAAATGACTAGCCTGCAGTTAGTTTATCTCTTCTACTGAGGGACATTTGAATTGTTTCCAGGCTTGTAGTTACTATGAAAAAGGCAAAGTGAATATTCTTGTACAAGTGTTTCATTTTTCTTAGGATAAATGCCTAGAGAGGACTTGCTGGATAATTAGGTAAATATATTTTTAACTTTATAAGAAATTGCCAGTTTTTCAAAGAAGTGGTACTGTTTTACACACCCTCAAGCAACATATGAGAGTTTCAGTTGTTCTTCATCCTGACCAACATTTGTTTCAGTTCTTTCTTAATCATATTCACACTAGTAGGTATGAAATGTTATCACACTGCTGTTTAAATTTATACTTTTCTGGTGTCTGATGACATAGAGCACTTTTTTTCATGTGCACATTGGCCGTTGTATATCTTCTCTGTGAAAGATCTATTTAAATCCCTTGCGTATTTTTCTAAATTGAGTTGTTTATCTTCTTATTATTGACTTATAAGAGTTTATAATAAAAACAAGTTCTTACTTTAAATATTTTTGGTCAGTGTGTATTTTGCCTTTTCATTTTCTTAATAGTGTTATTTGGGGGAACAGAAAATTTTAATACTGCTTAAGTCTAATTTATCCTTTTCTTGTTTTATGATTATTGCTTTCTGTGTCTTTTCTAAGACACTGTTACAACCATAGCTTAATAGTAAGTCTTGAAATCAGGTAGTAAGTCTGATCTTACAGAAATAAAAAGGAATATAAGAGAATACTATGAACAATAGTATGCAAAAAAAATATAAAACCTATATGAAATGGATGAAGTCTTAGAAGGAAACAAATTACCAAAATATAATAAAGAATACATAGAAAATCCTAATAAACCAATCACAGGATATTAGGTAAATAATTTTAAAACTTCCCACAATGAAAAGCCCAGGCCTAAACAGCTTTAATAGTGAATTCCACCAAACATTTAAATAAGAATTAATATCAGTCCTCTACAAACTCTTCTAAAACACAGAAGAGGAAGGAACACTTCCCAACTTATCCCATGTGGCCAGTATCACTCGATAACAAAATAAGGCAAAGACATTAGAAGAAAACTATAGAGCAATATCACTTATGAATATAGATGTAAACACCCTTAACAAAATACTAGTAAACTTAATCTAGCAACATATAAAAAGGAGTATACACCATGACCAAGTGAAATTTATCCCAGGAATGCAAGGTTGGTTTAATATATCAAAAAATAACGTAGTAGACTATGTTAATAGAATATATGGAAAAAAACCATGATCATCCCCATAGATGCAGAAAAAGCATTTAACAAAATCAAGTACCTTTTCATGATAAAAAACAGTCAACAAACGAGGTATATAAGAAAACTTTCTTTACCTGATAAAAGTCATCTATGAAAAACCCACAGTTAACATCATATGTAATGGTGAAAGACTGAATGCTCTCTTCCTAAGATTAGGAACAAAACAAGGATGTCTAATTTTTCCGTGTCTATTTACCATCATGTTGAGGTTCTAGTCGAGACAAGTAGGCAAGGAAAATAATAAAAGTCATGTAAACTGGAGAGGAAGAAGTAAGCTATCTCTATTTGCAGATGATGTGCCTTCATATATAGAAAATCTTACAGAATCCACTAAAAATTTATTAGAAATGACATGTTCAGCAAGACTGCAGGATAGATCAATAAATAAAAATCAATTGTGTTTCTATAGACTAGCAATGAACAATCCAAAAATCAAAAAGAATAAAATACCTAAGGTTAAATTTAATAAAGAAGTTAAAGAAGCTGTGAATATATGGACTATATGTTCATGAATCAGAAGATGTAATGTTGTTAAGGTGACAATACTCCCCAAATTAATCTATAGATACAAAGCAATCTCTATCAAAATCCCAGAGGCCTGATTTTTTTAGAAATTTACATGCTGACCCTAAAATTTATGGAAATATAAAGACCCAGTATAGCCACAACAATCTTTAGAAAGAGTAACAAAGTTGGAAGGCTCACATTTCTCAATTCAAAAACTTAACATGAAGCTGCAGTAATCAAGACAGTGTGGTACTGACATTGGATAGATATACAGGTTAATGGAATTAAATCAAGAGTACAGAAATACATCCCTAAATTTATGGCCAGCTTATTTTTTACAAAGATGCTAAGACAATTCAATGAAAGAACAGTCTTTTCAATAAATGGTGCTAGGACAACTGGATATTGATATGCAAAAAATGAAGTTGGACCCCTATACAGCAGTTAACTTAAAATGGAGCATAAGCCTAAATTTAAGACCTAAGACAATAAATCTCTTAGAGGAATCTCTTAGAGGAATCTCTTAGGAATCTCTTAGATTTGCAAATCTCAAATCTTTGCAAATGTAGGTTAGGCAATGGTTTTTCTTAGATAGAATACCAAAAACACAATTACAAAAGAAAAAAATATATACATTGATCCCAGCACTTTGGGAGGCCGAGGCGGGTGGATCACGAGGTCAGGAGATCGAGACCATCCTGGCTAACATGGTGAAACCCCGTCTCTACTAAAAATACAAAAAACTAGCCGGGCGTGGTGGCAGGCGCCTATAGTCCCAGCTACTCGGAGGCTGAGGCAGGAGAATGGCGTGAACCTGGGAGGCGGAGCTTGCAGTGAGCCGAGATCGCGCCACTGCACTCCAGCCTGGGTGACACAGCGCGAGACTCCGTCTCAAAAAAAAAAAAAAAATATATATATATACATTGGACTTCATAAGAAGTAAAAGATTTTTTGTGCTTAAAAAGTCACCATCAAGAAAGTGAAAGACAATCCACAGACTAGGAGAATGTTTTTTCAAATTATATATCTGACATATGCATCTCGACTTGTATCTAGAACATACATGAGTTCTTGCAATTCAACAATAAAATGACAATCCAATTGAAAAATGGGCAAAGATCCAAAGACATTTCTCCAAAGAAGATGTACAAATAACCAATAAGCACATGAAAAAGTACTAAAAGTCATTATTTGTCAAGGAAGTACAAATCAAAACAGCAATCAGATAAAACTTCACACCCACTAGGCTGGCTATAATGAAAAACATAATAACAAGTGTTGACAAGTATGTAGTGAAATAGAAACCTCATACATTGCTGGTGGGAATGTAAAATGGTATAGTCACTTTGAAAAACAGCTTGGCAGTTCTCCAAAATATTAAACATGAAATTGCCATATATCTCAGCAATTCTACTCCTAGGTATATACCCCAGAGAAATGAAAACACATATGCACACAAAAATGTGCACATGAATGTTCACAGTGATGTTTTTTGTAATAATGAAAATGTGAAAAAAATCAGGATGTCCATAGATTAACAAATGGGTAAACAAAATGTAGCACATTCACCAAGTGGAATATTATTTGGCAATAAAAAATATTGAAGTACCGATACATGCTATAACATGGATAAACTTTGAAAACATTATTCTAAGTGAAAGGAGCTAGTCACAAAAATCATGTGGAATAATTCCATTGATATGAAATTTCCAGAACAGTCAGAGTGATAGAGATGGAAACTAAATCAGTGGTT